TAATTCTTCTTCACGGTCTTCCTTGATGTAGTACTATAAGAATGTAGAAGGTGCGACTTTATAATATACACTCTTAGACAACAACAACAACAAACAAAAACAAACAAACAAACAAACAAACAAACAAAAAAAAAAAAGGCCAACCTGGGCTTACATTTTAGCAAGATAATATGCTCGCCCCCCATACTGCACATGTTTCTACTGCTTGCCTTAGTGCTTGCCGAACATTATCTTGGCCAGCAAGGTCGCCGGATCTCTCTCCTTTTGAGCACGTTTGGAGCATTATGGGTAGAGCCTCCAACCAGCTCGGGATGTTGACGATCTAACGCGCCAGTTGGACAGAATTTGGCACGATATCTTTCAGGAGGACATCCGCAATCTCTATCAATCGATGGCAAGCCGAATAACTGATAGCATAAGGGCCAGAAGTGGACAAACGCGTTACTGACTTTTTCACTTTGTAAAGCTCTATCACTTCAATAAATCATCCAATTTTTCTCAAACTGTAATCATTTGTTTTCTGTGCATGTACATCACTTCTACTGATTTTCGTCCCATTCGGATAACTCCCTTCTTGGTGCGTCTTTTTTTTTTTTTTTGGTTGTTTTTGTCTAGGAGTATACATGGATTGAATATTAGAAATAGTTTACAATACTGATGATGGTGGTTATAATGCGAAGAAACGCGACTAACTAATCGCCTTTCATGTAGCCATAATATGAAGAATTTTACTCCATGTATAATTGACATATAAAGTAATATCGTTTTAGAATCAACATGCATTTTTTGGAATAAAAGTTATAAAATTTATTATCTATCTTCACCTACGTGAGAGACGTATATTATCGAAATGTCTGTCACGATTTTCCAGGATTTCGCGTCTGTTGTCCGATACTTCGCGTAGGAAAGTCTAACCAATAGTATATGGACTCTTAACGAAACATACAAAAAATATTTTAACAAATTAAATAAACGTTTAAGCATGTTCTCTAGCCAGATGAATGATTATCAAGAGTTTTCGATCTGAACGAGAAGACACAAAACATTAATCAATTGAGGATAATGGTATAAACACTATAAGAGAAGTTCACACTTGCTAAAAAACGAAAAGAGGAACCTAATTGCTAGACATAGCAATTTTTTTTTTTTTTTTTTTTTAACTTTTCTTTTCCCGCCAGCGCTCGAAGACGGAAGTCGAAAGAGATGAAAAAGGTGCTTATTCCTTGTCCATAATTGGCGGCTTGTAATAAATATGCAAGGATCTTCTTTCGGAATATCAATTAAGGGGGAACCAGGCGTGTGATACGGCCGACCCAGAACGGCTTACCTTGTCAAGGTTGTCCGGAAATCGGTTCCTTTCCAACAAATTCGCCCGGATCCATTCCCGATGGTACGGCCATCGGAGGTCGTCTGAAATCACCTGCCCCGAAGTTTTCACCTGACATGAATTCGAGAGGGTGGTCCACACCCCTGACCACATCGGTCAGTGTTTCTCTCCCCTCCGACCAATCCTCAACTACCTTGCATCGTGCTTCTTTTTCGCGAAATACTAGTTTGTAAGCGAAATGGGTACAGAGTTCATACCCTTTTCATGATATGAAAATTAAAAAGCTTCTTAAGGATCTCATTCTTTATTTTTATGGGCTTTAAATAATAATAGGTCACACGTAATAAGAAACATTACATTAAAAGTGCTGGCACTAATTAAAATGAGTTACAGGAAGATCCTAATATTCGAGGTGACAGTGACTACAGCCTATACGTATGATATTCTCAAAACGTGGCTAACTGGGGTTGTTTTTTCCTGCAGACGGATTACATACAAATGGATGTCTGGAACTTTTCGTTTGTCATACTTTTATTTCAACAAAGACTGTAGCGTTAAAAAGTAATGAAATATATTTATTTCTAACAAAAAATTTCGACAAAATTAATTTTTTACCTCTCTAAATATATCATATCAACTAAAATAGAGGAATTAAATTATCTGTCAGTTTAGTAGGGATTTAATACTAAACAAATAATCTTGTTTCAATGTTTACTGTACTAAAACCAAACAAAGCGATTACTTTTTAATTGTATTAACCAAAACTTCCCTGATTCACTAAGCACTCTTTGGAGATACCCCCTTTTCTTGATGCTGTTTATTTCCTCAATGGTTTATCCTGTTCTGCTTGCAAAGACATATAGCTGCATAGTTGATACATTGACTCATTGAATTCATTCACAATCGACATGTGTTATTAATGTTTACTTATAAAGTGATTATTATTACTATTATTATTATTATACCGCTTTCCCAGCTTACGCGCATTGATGTAAAAATCTTATATTTAGGAAAGCAGATAATGTTCAATTTGCAAGTCAATTTTTTTTTTTTTTTTTTCAATTTTGAACGCTATTTAATAATACGTGCAAAGTTCAAAGAAATACCTTTCTAAGATTTAAAATTTCCTTATACACGAAGAAGCACGTACCTTATATTTAATTTTACTCTGAAAAATACTCTGAAATAGCCTTTTTAAAGAACATATCACATCGATCTCTTGAAAAAGGTGTAATTTAGAATGCAATAATACAATCCTGTCGATATTCATGATTTGGATATGGATGGTCAAAGATCTCAAATTTGACTGTTTGAATTTCATTTGTCCGAATTTGGGATATAATAGCACTTATCCGATGCTTGCTATTGAGTGACATTCAACACTTTATAAAGTCTTTAAGGAAAAAAAAAAAAAAAAAATCCATTTAATTAGTAAAATTCCGCTGCAAAACTCGTATTACATCCTAAATATAAAATTAAACAAAGGATACTAGACATTTTTCCCTTTCTTAATACCTCGAAAATGTTCTCAAAAAATAATAAATAATATTAAAAATAATTAAATACCTTATAAATATGGCAAACTCAAATGCTTTTATAAATTAAATACCAGTCCCAGGAATAAAATTCTGATTTTATTCAAAAGCATCACAACTGCACTAGCTATCACATTTTGTCTGGTTTTGACAGATCTCTAATTGCAGTGCTATCGCGAAATATGTCATATTTATATTTGCAAACTTCCGCTTTTTACTATAAGTGTACCGTAGAAAATTTTTACGTTGTTTGCCTTTTGATAATTTTTGAGTGCGGAGAGTATATGAAGCACAGAAGATTTTAGTAAATTTGAGAACACTTTTTATTATATAAATGACACATAGTAATGTATTTTAACAGCACTAACACATATTTAAAATTTAATAAATAAAATTTAGAATAATAAATTTTTAGGGTAGGGTTATTTAATTACGGCAAAGCCTCGATAACTATCTGCCTAAGGGGAGAGACGCCTTCGTGGAGAACTTTCTAAGGAAAACTAGCTCGTATACACGTTACACATGGGGAAAACCACGAAAACACCCATGCAGCCAGCCCGTTCGCGGGATTCGAACCTCGGACCGAACTACCAGTGTTCAGCGACTTTACCGCTCGGCCGCTGGTGGGCGAAAAAATAATAAATGATAGCAGACATAGTAAGAAAAAGAAATATTTTTGATTAAACAAGAATCATAATTTGTGATTAATTTTAACATTACATTAAAAAGTTCAGATACGTACTTTATAAAAGAAAGAACAGACTTACATTTTAAATACTGGGTATGTAAAATGCGAAACAAATTGATAACGAATTTACTAAATATTTAAATATACATTAAATAATATTTTTTAATGAACCATTTAAGAATTTTCAAAAATAAAGTTACATCATTTGTAATGTTCTGATTTGTAAAAGTAATCCTCAATATTTTGGTTTTACAGGTCAATTTTAAGCAGTCAGTATAATAAAATAATTTTTTATCAGAAATTAAAACAGACGGTTTCAAATCAGTTCTCTCTACATTACAATTGTTTATTAATCCCCTTCAGAACAGCAGCAGTAGTTCATAGAGAAAAATAACTGTCTCCTGACATTAAGATAGAAAAAATATTACCTATTTGTTATTCATAAATTTTAATCAATATTTAATAAAAAATAAATGACCTTTAAACTTATTAGCTTTATTTTTATTTCATACTTAATTAATAATTAATTAAATTTAGTTTATTTTTATTTAATTAAAGGTAAACTTTTTTAAACTTACGAAATTTAAATAAGATAGTTTGGCATATTATTTACACAGTTGTACTTAATATATAAAAGAAATTTGCCACCTAAAGAATTACAAGCCTATACAAATAGCCATCTCTTTTCAGGACATATATATTTTTTTAAATTTTATTTTAAACTATCATTGATGATTTTCAAAGTGAATTAAGTATTGTTAAATTTGTATGAAACTTAGTATCATTTACATTAACGAACACTTCACGATCAAACTTATGCTGAAGACACTCAAATAAATCAAAGGCTTACATTACGACAACACTGGATTGGATAAATCTGCATAAGATTTATCCAATCCAGTGTTGATTCGCATACAAATGAGTAGATACACATGAGTCGACGAAAGTGCAAAATTCTCTTCTTTTGTTTTCATTAATACCTAACTATACACAGCTAACCTCTGATTTGTTAAATTGTAATAAGTATTAAAACTGGTTTCACTTATTGTAATTTGCTTTATTCATTACGGAACATTTATTTCACTGGTCGATGAAACGTGACTCACATAGCCTCACAAGGAGTTGCTTGTTTCATGCGCGGTCAAGCATAGTTATGACTTCATATGGTCATTCACTGAAGGTAGAATTTAATCTAAAGCTGCAGCTGAAAAAACGTTTATACTAACTTTATAATGGTTGAAAAACTAATCTGTATTCTGAACAATCGTAACAAAAATTTTTAAATATTTTCAACAACTATTCTTGAATCATAGTTTGCTTGCACTTTCTTATTATCACGATATGTGATGGAAAGTAGTCATAGGCATGGAAATGGTGAACAAAACTCTCTTGAAATTAATGCAAGTTTTTCTTGTTTGTTTTTCAAACAGTCTTTATCATAATATAAATCACCATTGAAACCTTCCTCTCCCCAAAAAAATAATTGATTACTATTCTTCCACAAAATATAAATATAAGGTGACAAATCAGATCAGCAAGCAAGGAGGAAAAAATTTATTACTTCTGAAATAATTACTATACATTCATAATTTACTTACTTTCTCTCATCGTAATACTGTCATTCGTCTTGATTTTAAATCTCTCCAGCAATCTGCTTAACAAAAAAAAAAAAAAAAAAAAAAAAAAAAAAATGCTGAATTAATCTTCCAAATCTCTACTTAAACAAGAAAGTCGATTCTTTAAATCGTTGATGTCCAAATCAAATCTAAGATACCTACTTTTACTAAGTGGGTTGAAAAGTTAAATATTATTTCTGCAATTTTATACATTCATTTCTTACTACTTCATCAAATAACAAACGGTTTTGTTTTCCTCTTTTCAGACACTCCTGAGCAAGAGTTAGAAAAAGAGATTTTTCTAATATTTATTACTAATAAAGCGTCGAAGATCAGGTTTCGGTTGACATTCAAAATCTGGATCTAACTACTTACAAATGAGTAACTAAATCCTGTGGTCTCTAGCTTGCCTAACCACCTAACTCACCGACTAGATGTGCCCTCACAAACCAGCATTTAATTTTTTCCCTTCTTTATACATATTTTTTGGCCCTCCTACAAATTGTTTTCCCTATGAATTTTTTTATTTCACCTACAAATTTTCTTCCTTGCTGATAACATAATTGGGTTTATTTAGAATTACAACAAAAGCCTGCTAGGTTAGTATAAATTATTAAAAGGTTTTGGCTTAATGCAAATTATATTTCAAGTACATACATTAACTGGAACTTACTGTTATTAAAATAATAAACAACATTATTAGAAATATATAATAAGCATAGGAAACATTACTAATTGTTATCTAAGACAGGATATAAAAGATTATTTCTATCAGCTAATCATATATTTTAACCAAAACCTTAAGAATATTCTTCATTACGATGAATTATTACACCTAACTCCATCTTATTCCCCTCTTCCATTAGTTCCAAAAAATTTGCTTGGTTTCTCCCAAGGTTCAATATCCAAATTGTTTCCTCTTCTTCTTTAATATTTAATAAAATTCTCTGTTTTTTACCATAGTGGACAATTTTGGGGGTATTTATACAATTCCTCGGTAATTTAAAATGATTATTTTTTTATTTTAAAAAAATCCTCTTTTTGTATAAGCACAGTTTCGATATTTGCCCGTTTTCCAATATTTTTCGAATTAAAATTATTCCAAATATATTGTTCGCCTAGTAAGTTGCATTTCCTTAATGACATTAAAAAAATAGTTTACACTTACGTAATTAAGTTATTTCTTCTTTTTCTCTTTATATGCCCAATAAAGTCTATAAAAACGTGCCCATAAAAGCAGCATAATTAGAGCATAGCCCCCTTCTCATCCTTTTTTTGGGGGCCGGGGGAGATGAAAAACCATTCTTTTGATTTTTCGAAATACATTCAGCTAATAATTGTCGCTAGAAGGGTGCAATTCTAACAATCATTAATTGTCTTCTTTTCATTTTAAAAATATTTCAACTAATTAATTGTACAACGGGCCAGAGATTAGATTATTTAGACGTCTGAGCCCACTACATGATAGTCCAATGGAAAATGTTTCTAAAATTTTTCAATCTAGATAAATGTTTAGAGAAATATATCGACTTTCAAAAAGCTTCATGGCATTCTAATTGAGCCGTTACAAAATCTCTATTTTTTCTATTCTCAAGGAATAGAAAACTAGAATTCTTTTAATAGAAAAATGGAAAAATTTCTTATAACAGAACACAGTCATTATTCTTTTACATTAATCTGTATATCGAAATGCTAACAACAGGTATGAAATGGCTGCATATTTTTTATAGCTAAGTTTAATATATTTCTATATCAGCTTGATCTTTGCTCTAATTTTACAAATAACTGCGTGTTTCATTTGGAAACTTAAAAACCGCCTTTGGTAAAAATATCCTACTTTTTTATGATTTTCTTGAATACTAAACAACACTTACTGATTTTATTCTTATTTTAGCTAAACGATACGCAGTTACATTACATTCATTTATTTTACAACGAGTTGACCGAAGTGTTTCTATAATTCATTAATTAAATTTTTTCTTCTCAAATATGAGATTTTTTACTGTACCCTAAGGATCAAATTCCACACGTCAGAGCAAAGTAAAAGGGTAAAAGATCACATGGAAGCGGATACGTCTGCCACTAATTTGTCCTCCAGAAATTAGTGGCACAAGTTCGGTCGATGGTACAAAACATTTCTGGAGTAAAGATTGGTACCAATAACTCACGATTTTAGCACAGCGATTAGTGGCACTCAGATTTGTGAGCAATCGTTATTTATTTCCAGAAAAGGTGTTCAATGATTAACCACTTAATGCGTATGCATACCAGGCCATGACGTGACGAGATAGCTAAATATGTACATTAACCGGAATTGAGAGGGGGTAATAATAAGCATAATATGTTCATAAAAAGTTCAGGAAGCTGCTTGAAATAATCTGTCGCAGATAGCTGATGTAAGAAGGCGCGCGGGGGGGGGAGCAAAGATAAATATATGTTATCGGATGCGTTGAGTTCAGTACTTGCATCGATACAAATTTAGTACAAGTAATTGTGGTCTGGAGTATTTTTAAGATGTGTTTTTGATATCATGATACATTAACTGATAATCACACACGAAAGGGCTCCTGGCATTAAGATGTGTCGACCGATACGAAACTTTACAGAAATCGAGGCGCCTTCCCCCCCCCCAAATGCAAGCAAATCCAAAAAAAAAAATTACTATTTGCATTACGTCTTTGAAATTATGTATCTATCATTGTATTAAAGTAGAAATATTTTGTTTCTTTTTTTAATATTGTCCGAAAAAAAGGAGAAAAACATATAGTTCCTCAGAATGTATTTTTGCATCAATTAATTCAGATCACATGTAACATTTTTAGGAGCTAAATTTTTAATTAAATTTTTAGGTGATTTAGAGTTTAAACGCTTACATAACGTTAAAAACTAAGACTGATGGATCAGGTCTCATAGAGACTTTACATTATGAACTATGTAAACATAATTATTTATTTTTATTTTTCATTTCATGAAAGAAAATTTGTAAACATTTAATTACTGTTACATTAAATAGACTGTAAAAAATATGATTAGTTCAAATACAAATATGTAATAATCAGAAATACAAGAGATATAGTATGAATGCATACAATAGTAGCAGCTGATTGCTGACTAAAAACGTATGAAAAGAACCAGCAGCGAATAGTGGTGCTGTTATAATTAATAACAGAAACGTTAATAGTTGATAGTTTCATAGTGAGCTTATTATTTCATGTAATGAAAATCTAGGTGAATAACTGCAAATTATTTTAGTGTTAAAGTAAGCATAAGCAGTTGATACTCGCTATAACAATCCGTGCTTTATGATTATTACGTTTATACCTATCATAATAAAGCTATATCAAAGTATATTTCAGATGTTATATCTAGTGGTCGTTATAGCAAAAATTAATTTAGTTTCTCCTAAATCATTTAGGAATTTTTTGTGCCGGTCATTATAATGAAACTTTGCTGTAACGAGTGGTCGTCACACTAAACATAGTTAAAGTCATTTCGAAGGCAAATACGAAGAAAATTAAATTTTGAAAAAGCATAAATTATAAACAACGTCATATTAGTGACTGATACATTTTACTAAGAATGCAGCCGTCACACAAAATTATGAATCTTCCGTTTAAGCAGAAGACTGCAGATGTTATTTAAAATGAAATGATTTCTCCCAGCACCAAACTGCTTTCTTACTGAAAACTAGTCAAATATTACCGTAGAAATTAAAGGCGTCCTAAAGTGGCAGTAAAGGCATCAAGTTATAGAAATGTTACCTTGTCATAATTATGAAAAGCAATTTTTATACTGAACACGCCAGAAACAGAAATTCGTTCATGTAAATTATTGCAAGTATCAATGCAAACTTTTCCAAAAAACACATTAGAGTACTTTTCAAGTATATTGCAAAGCCTTTCAAAAAGTACTCTATTGTTGCCACACACTAGTTTTCAAAAAAACTTATAATAACTGGCTCTTCTCTGAATGAAGAGCATTTATAGGCCGTATTTAATTTGCAACATTAAACGCGGATCCTTACTGTAAACGAAAGGAAATCTGCAAAAGTTAACACTATGGGGGCACCCAGATGCACCTTTCAGTTTCATATCATCTGAAACCCCACCCTGAATTCATGTTTCCAAGGGCAATTTTCAAGTAGGCGGTCACAACAGCAACCAAATGAATGTTCCGACCATGATTTATGCAATTTTTACAAGCGAAGAATCTTTCGCGGTGATCAGTCGCAAGGCTCAGGACCTTATAAATCGAGATTAAGTGTGTCACAAGTTGACCTAAGCCTGTTTTTCTCTTTTTTATTTTAAAGTATTCCGTTTTCGCCACGCGCACCCGTTCCACATCATACTTTTTTCCTTCCTCTCTCTCTTCTCTTAACTTGAACAACGGATGAACTTGATCCGAATAGAGAGTCTTTTCAAACGGAAAAAAGGACTGCGAGAAAACGTGGCAGCAGAAAGGAGAAAGTCACAGCAGGTCGGTGTTAAGATGCAAATGAGGAGTAATAAAAACATGAATGAATAATGGGGTGGAAATTATGGTAAGTAAAGGAAAATGTGACAAAATAATGTGCACTTACGCAATGTCATCCAAGGTACACACATAGCTTATCATAAAACACGATCGATCAGACTGCCGTCTTGAATGCTCCCTAATAAACCTTTCAGGATGGCAATATTACATTCCCAAAATACACAGTAGTAAGAAGAGTTTTAAAACAAAAAGTGAGTTGGTTAAAAAAAAAAAAAAAGAAAGAAAGAAAGGAATAAAAACACGCAAATATCCGTAAATCGGATGAAAAAAATTATTTCTTACACTTATCGATGGTCTAACTGAATTCCAATTCCGTTTTCAGTTTTAAACAACGAACATCTGCATAAAAACGATATGGTAATATGTGGGCTGGCATCGTTCATTATAATCGGATGACGCGACAAGCTGTGACAATAAATCTTTGATTTTTCCGATGATAGAAGGCAGACGATTCCGCCATTAAGACGATGACGCGATTAAAAGATGTTTGCATATTAAAGAA